AGGAGAGACAGAGAGACAGAAACAGAGACAGAGAGGGAAAAGCAGTGAGAGGGAGATAGAGAGGGAGAGAGAGACAGAGACAGGGAGAGAGGGAGGCGGTCATAGTCAACTTACTGTGAAAGAATTTGCATCCATGTGATGACAAGATGCTTGTCAGGGGTGATTCACAGGCACAGAAAATGACCATTTTTTTGTGTGTGGTGAGAATATTTTCCACCAGCTCAGAAGGAGCAGCTTCTAGAAATGGTTGCAAGTCATGTTGGACGTGGAATGTGAGCCTCATCTGAGACCTCATATGGAGGGCATCCTCGCCGTAAATATTTAGCATGATTCTACCTAAGTATTTATTAAAAACACGAGGTGTTATTGTAAAGGAATTCCAGGCTCCCCGCGCCTGATGTTGACGAATGCCAGCGTGTTTGGTTTTACCTTCCCGAGCAAAGGCTCTGGAGTGGGCCCGCCGTGGGATCCGTCCACCTACACGCTGCAGATGGCTTCATTTTATAAGAGACGAAACTGCATTTGGTGGAACTGATTAAATATAAAAACACGGCCATCTGCCATTTATTCCAATATAAAATGGCTCGGGCAGATGCTGACATCTTTCTGATGACTGATTCAGCCCTGTCTAGGGAAGACGCTGGGAGGCTCACAGCTGCCGGCTGCTCAGGCTACGCAGAGCTGCGGGAGCAGAGTGGGCAGCTCCACAGGATGTGGCCGGTGAGCCAGAGCAGTGAGCGAGCTGAGAAGCTGCACATCCCGACCCGCTCCCCGCCTCCCGGGACTCCTGGCTGTGTTTAACAGGGGAGACCTTTACTGCACACACCACCTCCTCCTACGTGCCCGCTGCCCTCACGCTGGGATAACTGGAGGACTGGTATTTGCAGAAAATAGTGAGTGTGTTCACATGGCAGCGTGTGAAACTTTTCAAATGCTACATGTGCTCCTGCTGGGTTTTAAATTGTTTTTTCTAAGTGGACGAGAGGGTTTCATTTAAAAAGATGTTGTTTACCAAGAAGCCATGCCACATGTTACAGCATGGCTTGGAAACAGCTGCACCTCTATTGCTTAAACTAATGCTCTTTACAGAGGGCAATAAAGTATATCTTTTTTTTCCTTTTTTGTCTTTTTCATTTTTATCGGTACCGGGGATCGAACTCACAACCGCCTGCTTATAAGGCAGGTACTTATGCCGCTGAGCTAAATCTCCAGCCCTAAAGTACATCTTTTATATAGGAATATTTCTCTCTCTCTCCATCCCTCCTTCCCTTCCTCTTCCTCTTCTCACAAAGGCCCTTTCACTGAGCTATATCTCTAGTTCCTTTTAATTGTTTAAAATTTTATTTTGAGTCAGAGTCTTCCTAAGTTGCTAAGTTACCCAGACTGGGCTAAAGCGTGTACCCTCCTGTCTCAGCCTCCCAGCATGTGAGCATTATGGGCATTTGCTTTGATACCCAGGTCCTGTGTAACATTTTTCTTAACGACTTAAATAATTTTAGGAAGAAAATGTAGAGATCAAGATGTTTACCTGGTCCCCTGTTTATGAGATTATTTTCTTATTTGTATGACGCTGATTAAGATGGAAAATGGTTTCCTTAAAGACAGAGGAGAAGCTGGCTTTCCTTGTCATTTTCATCACAGTTTAAAATACTGAATTGGTTCTGAATAATTAGGCAAAGTGACTTGAGAATATTTCTGCATATTATTTTTAATTGAATATAGCAAAACTATGGCTATCAATGCATTTGTGCTAGCATGACATATATTCAAATGCACAAAACTGGATAGTCTATATAGATGTAATTCCATTTCCAGGCTCACAGAGGACTCTGTTGTTTGGATTTATGCTGGTCCATTAATTTTCGATCCATATCCTCCTGTCCCTTTATCCTACTGAAGCTTTCTGCTGTGGCCATGGCCGTGTGATGATAGCCTCTAAGGTCACTGTGTTTGTGATGACCCCTAGGGATGCTGTACTGCTGGGTCCTGGGAACTCCAGTTCTTGGAACTTCTGATTCCCAGGAACTTCTGTTTCACAGGAGCCCAGTTCAGGGTCTTCTGGTTCCCATGAGCTTCCGGTTCCTTTCCATCTGTTCACCTTCCGGTGCTTAAATCAATTTTTACATTCTCTCTACCTTCTTATTTCCCCCTCGTATCCATTGCTCTCTATCCTGTTGTTGCTTTGTTCCTCTCCTATTTTCCCAGATCATAGTAGGAGTCACCTTTTCCGCGGGGTTCATAGGAGAAGATCTGATAGGATAGTTTCTTTGCTGTGGTGGGGTCTGTGCCCCTCCCTCGGTGTGCTTGGCTGCTAGCCCACGTGACCTCAGGCCTGGGCTGTCGTTGGAGCAGGCTCTCGGCAGAGGTATTGTCGTCAAAGTGAGGTTGGAGGTGGTCTCTCACCCGATGTGACCAATGCCCTAAGAAGAGGAAATTAGGCTGGAGATGCGTGTGGAGAGGGAAGATGTTTGCTAGTGGATGTCTGTGAGCCGGGGAGGAGGCCTGGAACAGATGCCCTCACAGCCGCCAGAGAAGCAGCCCCGCACACGCCTGCATCTCCACGGTTGGCCTCCAGAACTCAAAAGAACCAACTGTCTGAATCTCCTAGTTTTTGGTACTTGGTTCCAGCATCCTAGGAAGCAGTTTGGACATCATCTCTGCCCTCATGGCTCCCACAGGTCAGGAAGGGTGTCACCATATATCCGGACAGGAAGGTGGGCAGAACTTCTCGGAAAGGCTACCTGAACGGGTGGGAAGGCTTTGTGCAGGAGGAAACATTCATCTCCCAACTTCACCCATAAACCACAAGTATTTGGGAGACATTTAGAGCAGTGTCTTCTAGACAGAAGTTAGGCTGGTGACAGAGATCTGGGACGAGTTTTGTGTTGTCACCGAGGTACTGTGGGTAGGTTTTCTTGCACCCTGTGCCTTCAGGGTAGAATACTCATCCTGCTTCTGCACCTGATTTTTATCAAGAACTTCCTGTCCCAAGAGCAAAAGTTGTTGCCTCTGGAAGCCAAGGGAAGGCTAAGACATCAGGCTGAACTGTGAAAGGAGCATCCAGCCAGCTGCCTACAATCAAGTTCCCTGGTCATCTAGGAGGACACGCGGTCCCTCATGGCTCTGTGGGGAGGCTCAGTGCAGTGGGGCAGTTCTCTCTTGGAGTCCTGGACTTCGGACCGTGTGGTTAATGGGGAGGGGAGGCTGTAACTACACTGTACTTCTCAGTTAGTGGTACTGCTGTTAGTGGTACTGTTCACACCCACCCACTCATCTTGCGATGAGTGATATGAATCTGAGAAATGACTGTAGAGAACTTGAACCAGCGGGGGTACCATGGAGCTCTTCCCTGTGTGAGAAACTGGGCCAAAAGCATATCTACTGATCCAGCTAGGTTCACCCACTAGGGACAGGTGACTCTGTTCAGTGCTCAGCTCCACAGCACCCTTGACAGCCTAACAAGGGGCCCAAGTTCACAAGTCCCTGAGACTGGACTCCTGCCTCCAGCCAGTGTGATCACTGCAACACAGTGGAACCAACAAAGGCCATCTAAAAAAGGACATCTTCACGAAAGCCTGGAAGCCTGATCTTAATAAATGAGCCCCTGTGGTCATCACACCTCTGGCTTCTTTTTATTAAGGAGAAGACACAGGCCACCTGCTTCTGTGACCTTGGGCAGCCTGAGTTTGGGGGCCTTTCAAGGAAATCATCTTCGAAGCCAGACCAGTGGGAATAAAAGTGAAGGTGACAGATGAAAGTGGCCACCGATTCCTGCTCTGGGAAATATCTTTTAATCATAATTAAATCTTAATCCTTTGAATTAAAAGAAGGAAAGCAGATTGTTTGCTAAATCACTGTGAGAAGCGTGAGGTTCACCGAGGAGCTGGAGAGGTGAATTTTAAGTCGCAGGCAGAAGGCTGGAGTGGTCGGGCCCCACCACACCCTGCCTCACCCAGGCCTTCCCACCTCACCTCCCTCCCGCCTCTGTTGGCCGTATCTGGTCCCTCTGCCCACAGACCCGCAGCCCGTTTGCACTGGTTTTCCTGTGATGGTCATTTTCATTCTTTCCTCTCCTGCAAGCAGATTTTCCCCACCATATGCTCATTTAATCCTAATTACGGTGCACAAACATCTTGTGCACCAAGTGGTGGGGTCCCCCCAGGCCCCCTGCAGCTAAGTGCTGTGTGACCCGTGAAACTGTCTCAGTCTCCCCAGGCAGCTCCCTAGAACTCAGCCCTCTCCACTCCATCCTACAAATTCACCCGAGTGCAGAGCATTTTGGAGCCCTGAGTAGGAATGTCATGGTGTCCACCTGCTCCTGAAGGCCGTCTTGGTGACTTCCCTGTCGGGGGGCAGATAGCGTGATGGCTTGACACTTTTGTTTGCATGTGTCCATAATTCATGTTAAAAATTTAATCCCAAAAGTAAGAGTCTTAAGGGGCGGTGCTTTGGGAAGGCATTAAGTCAGAGTAACACCCCTTAAAAAGCTCCAGAGCTTTACATGACCCCTTTCTTTACTATTGCCCTTCTGCCATGTACCAGGTACTATTAACGAGGCGGAGGTCAGCTCTCTCCGGACATCAGATGTGCTGGTATCTTGATCCTGGGCTTCCTTGCCTAGAATTCTGAGATATAAATTCCTATGATTTGACAGCTTAACCCTGGGAGACTGTGGTAGGAGGTTTGCAAGTTTGAGCCCAATCCAGGAAGCTTAGTAACTTTGCAAGACCTCATCTCAAAATAAAAAAAAATTAGAAAAGGGCTGCAGAGGTAGCTTAGTCAAAGGCCCTGGGTTCTACCCTCAGTACTGAAAAAAGCACTCAGTTTGAAGTGTTTGGTGACAAAACCCCGGACTGAAGGAAAAGCTATGCAGGATAGAAGTTCAGTGTCTCTGAGTGCAGGACCCGACAGCTTGAAACTGGGAGGTGATTATAGAGAGAAAGAAAGGCAAAAAGGAAGAGAAAGAAGAAATACCTGACAGCAGCACTGTTCATTTGTAGATTTCTCCACCCAGTAGAAGCTTCTGGGCTTGGCCGGCGGACGTGCAGTTGGAAAGCTTTGGCTGGAGGTCCCGTAGGGGAAAATCAGTACAGGTTTGCTTGTGTTCCTCTGTGCTCCTTGTCAGTGGCAAGTTTGGATCCCTTTTGCACACCTGGTGCTGATGGCAATGGAAGAGGAAAGGTAGGCAATGGTGCCTCATAGTGAGAAAGGGTGGAGGTGGGGGAAATGCCCGATGATGGATGCCCTGGGATCCATCACGTTGCTTCTTACACTCATTTGCTGTTTATGATTCTGAGCAGGGAAACCAAGCCTGACACAGACGCCGAAGATTAAAACGGAATCACTATTTTTTAATATGGAAGCAAGACTCAGGGGGTTTCGATGGGAAATTGCAGGGCGCAGAAGTTGGGGTGGGAGGGACCGGGTCACAGCCCCTGCCAGGCACCTGCCCCTCCCATCCTGTCACACTCATTTGTCTCTGTCTCCTCCAGCAGGAATTGATTTGCTGATGTGCAGCCTCAAAGTTGGAGCAGATTTCAGGTAGGACTTGTGCCATGCATGGCAGAGCACATGACAGGCGACTTGAGAAGTCAAAGCTGCCCTGAAGTCACCACGGCAGCAGCATCTTCTCTTCCCTCAGTCTGTGGCCTCTGATCCTAGGATGCCACCATGGTGACACCAGTGGGCACACAAATCTCTTCCTGGCTGGGAGCAGCTGTTGAGGGTGCGTTGGTTTTACCTGCGGCCCTCTGCTCACTTGGTCACTCCCTTTGGGGTACAGCAGGGCCAGTGGAGCTCTACTTCCTGGGTGACATGGCTGCTTGACCGTTCTGCCCCCGAGTGTCTCGGCAACATATTCCCTGTTCCTAGGATGTCACTTTCTCAAGCGTCACCTCTGTGTCATTTTCTACATGTGCTGACATTGCCCGAGAGTACCTGAGGTTATGCGGTCCCACAGCCCTGGCACTGAACAGAACCAGCAGGGAAAGCAGGGATGGACTGGGAAGTGACCTGTGAGCCTCTCTTCCTGCTGGGACTGAGCTATCATTTCAGCCATCATGGTACGCGTTCATGTCACGTGATCTTTCCTCTCGTTCTCTCTCTCCACCAGTGCCCTTTCTATAAGGCACTTTGTAGATCGATACCAGGTCTCCGGTATCGAATCATTGATTCGGATGCGTTTTCTCATTTAGAGGCCATTTGCAGAGAGAGAGAGAGAGAGAGAGAGAGAGAGAGAGAGAGAGAGAGAGAGAGAGAGACAGAGAGAGAGAGACAGAGAGAGAAAGAGAGAGAGAGACAGAGAGACAGAGAGAGAGACAGAGAGAGAGACAGAGAGACAGAGACACAGAGAGACAGAGACAGAGACACAGAGAGACAGAGACACAGAGAGACAGAGACACAGAGAGAGACACAGAGAGAGACACAGAGAGAAAGAGAGATAAAAATCATTTTCCCAATGAAAAGGAGGCTTTAGGAACTTTGCCGGGGGTCAGCTATGGCAGCAGAGCCCATTGTAAATGATGCAGTTGTGACATTGGAAGCTGGTTGGGGTCGTACTTTACTACACAAAGCAAGTTTTGGCTGTTGCAGAGGGAGCTTGTCTTGCTTTGGTGGCCGAGGCCTTTGCGTAGAACTCCCTGAGGCCTTGCAGGTAGACCCACAGAGTGACACAGAACTGCGTGGGGACATCCGAGTGATTCTTACTGCAAGCATAATGCTATTCCTCTCCTGTCAGTCTGCAGAGGGGGAAAAATTAAAGGGTCATCCACAGATGGAGAGGTTCACACGAACACTGCGTCTGCCTCTCTGGCCTTTCATCTCTGTGCTCTCCCTGTGACTGTGTCCTGCCCAGCTTGGGACTCGGTTTCCCTACTCACCCCTGCACTGTGTGACTATGGGAAGGTTTTTATTCATCCGAGTGTGGAGCAGTAGTGTTCACACTCACCGTGTTATGCTGCAGGCGCATAACACACCTTACTTCTTTTCTTTCTTCTTCTTTTCCTTTTTGGTACAGGGCTCAGACTCAAGATCCCATTCCTGCTAGACAGGGTCTCTATCCCACTCCATTCTTCTCTCCACCTGCTCCTTCTGACTCTTGGTACCTTCCCATATGGAAGGGACCTCCCTACCTCTTACTCTCTACCTTTTATTTTGCTCTTTAATTATACTTAATGTATATTTTTTTCCTCACATAAGAGAAACCATGTGGTGTTTAACCTTCTGTGTCTGATTTTATGCAAAAGTTTCTGAACTGTAGAACTCCCTACCTGGCTGTCCATTTGATTAATGTATGCATGTTTTTATTAGTATATGCTTGTGACTCACAGTGATTACCCTCCTTGTGGGGTCCATGCACTTGAGTGTATCTTAGACATTTTTACTTTCCATCCCTTTCCCATCCTCTCATTTCCCCCCACTTGATACCCCCTTCCCATCTCTCCTGATGACCTATGTGGTCCCTGTGTGCCTCAACTCCCGGCGATCCTCCTGCCTCAGCCTCCCAAGTGCTGGGATGACAGCCGTGCCAGCACTTCTGCTCAGGATGATACATTTCCCCAGCCTCCCTGCCCCACCAGTGGCCCGTGCTCCTGAGGTTGGCCTAGTGGTCTGTGTGGGGTTTCCTGATCTTCCACTGCTCCTCGGCATCCTTGAAAGACTCCAGGCCCCTGCCTGGAAGGCTTGGGGTCCCAGCTGCTTCTCCAGCAGGGATCCTCAGTGGGGCACAGTCCCCGGGGTCCATCCGCAGCAGAACCCGGGTTGGTGCTGCAACCATCCTGAAGCACAGCGCATGTGCTCAGACAGGGCCTTGAGGCCGGGTCAGCAGGCAAGGATGGCCATTGGTTGATTTCCCAGGGCAGATGCAGCCGCTCCCCCTGCCCCCAGCCACCCTGCATCCCCCAGGCAGTTTGTGAGTCTGCCATTGGGATGCACGTGAGTTTCATTTGCAGTCAGATGGGGAGATGGGGCCCCTGGTGCAGCCCGGCCCTGTCGTTGCAGCTCCCATGGGGCCAGGGTGGCACCTCCCGCAGGCCCTGCCCACTGCGCCTGCCCCTGCTCCGTGAGAAGGCAAAAGGGAAAGGGAGGGGGGCCTGGGGGTGGCCCTTGGGATGTGCGGTCTCAGAGGTGCAAAGGGGCCTCTCCCGCCCCCTCCTCCCCCGTGGGTGCTGCTTCTTCCCCGCAAGTCCTGGGCAGCCCCAGAGGACCATAGGGCTGAGGCTCCTACCTGCAGCAGGGTGTGTGGGGGACTGGGGTAGTCTGAGATCTGGGGTCCCCTCTCCGAGGTCAAGAGGTGTCAGGCAGAAGCTCTGGCGAGGGGCCAGGTGGGCCATGAAGGACAGGCCTCACCTGAGCTAGCTCCCGAGGTCAGAGAGGGCAAGAGAGGCAGCCCGGGCCTTGCAGTGAGGACACGGTTCTGTGGGGCACAGGGTGTTGGGCTCAGGGTTGGGGCTCAGAAAGGAGGCCAAGTAGGTGGTGGACACCGTGAGCACAGACAGGACAGGGGGTGAGTGTGAGTTCCAGGGGCAGATGCGCTGGGACAGAAGCCATCTCTACTGGCCTGGCATTCCCTATAGCTTGCCTCCCTTCTCCCCTGTTCATCTCTTGGTCTCCTTCCCATTTGCAAAATGTCCATCTCCCTCTCTTCCTGGGCCTATCTTTTATCTTGCTCTTCAGCTATTCATAGCTTGCGCTTCTTATGCTAAAGAAACCTTTCAATATTTAACCTTCTGGGTCTGATATATCTAGGGTCCAAGGTGCATCCATGTTGCTATGCATGGCTCAGGTTTATCCTTCTTGATGGCACAGTAGTACTCCATGGCGTGTGAACGCCATGCTTTATCCATTGGTCTCTGGATGGACATTTGGGCCGCTTCTGAGATTTAGCTATTGTGAGTTGTGCTGCTGTAAACATCAGTGTGCTCGGATCCCTGGGATACGATGACCTGACCCCTGTTGGGAAGATGCCTAGAAGGGGAAGAGCTTGGTCCAGTGGAATTTCCTCTTTTGGTTATTGAGAGCTCTCCACCCTGAGCTCCTTGGCAGGTGCACTTTCACTCCCTTACCTGCTGTGAGTTGGGGTATCAGGGTATTCCCTTGCTCTGCAGGCCTGCATTTGTCAGGTGAGGGCCAAAATGGGATCAGCTTCCCAGGAGGTACCGATCAAACAGCACAGCGTGTGAGAGGCATGGGACCCAGCGGCAGGGACTGAGCAGCAGGGCCCTGGGGGAGGAGGCTCTGGGGCCCACAGGGTCCACAGGGCTCACGATGTCATGGTGGGTGCCCAGGACGGTGGCGGAGGGGGAGTGGAAGAGATGGGGAGGGGGAGTGGAGGGTGAGGCCCATATAACACACAGGCTGGAAAACCCACTTTGAGTCTGCCCAGGCATGCAAAACCATCACCTGTGATGCTCACCGAGTGCTTTCTGGGGGCTAGAGAGCTGGCATCCCCTTTTCAAAGACAGAAAATCCAGGTCTTCTGGAGGAGACAGAGCCAAACTCAGGAAAGCTCGATGCAGCCAATGCTGTGAGCAGTGCAGAGCTTCCGGAACGAGGTTCCTGTGAGTGATCCCGGCCCCCACACGCAATCCTGCGGGTGCACTTTGATTTCACCGCCATTGATCAATAGGCTGGTGACTGCTGGTGATGGCCAGTGACATGATTTAATGAGTCCAGCTAAATTATGTGCCCATGGGAGCAGATGTGTATACCAAAGAGGAGAATCACGATTACCTTGGTGCTGGCCCCTCACCCTGGTGGGTCTGCATGTGGCCAGGAAAGGGGCCTGTGGTCAGATCAGTGGTGCAGGGAAATCTCTATATCTGCAGGACCAGAGAGGGCCACGTATGGTCTCTGACAGTGAGGGAGCAAAGCCTTACTGATCAGGAATACCCAGCCCACTGCAGGCCTCGGCTGATGGGTACTTGGGCAGTCACAGTCCTTTGCAGTGACCCCCAAATGTGGCCAGTTTCCAGAGGGGCACACCTGCTTTTACCTGGTTTCTGCCCCTGTGTGTTTCTCTGCAGGCACATTCTAGCTTCTCCTGCTTCAGAGGAGGAGAATCAGGAGAAGCAGCCAGGTGCAAGTTTGAGGATATTGGGACAGTGAATTCTTTATTTGAAATATAAATATTCCAAAGCTTGGTGTCTAGGAGAAAGGGACTCTCACTGGGTGTGGTGGTGCATGCCTGTAATCCCCGCAATCAGGAGGCTGAGGCAGAAAGATCAATGCGTTTGAGACCCACACAGGGAGATCATGGTCTCCCTAAATTACATAGTGAGACCCTGTCTCAAAAACAAACAAAAAAGCCCAAAAATAATTAAATGAGTGAATGAATGAATAAAAGCTGTTATCTAGGAGATTTCATACAAGTTTAAAGTAAACATGGGAAGGAGCCAGAATGATGATCGAATGTTTTCGCTATGGGCCACACACTTTGGGCTCTTGCAGGATTTCTTTTTCTGCATGGTGAGATCTGCTTTCCTGGCTGCCACCATGACAAGTGGTACTTCGGACGAAGGTCTTGCTCTCAGACTCCCTGTGCT